CAAATGGCAGGGAACCACAGTTCTCAGGAACTTCTGTGGGAGTGCGGAGGGTTCAGCATCTCACATGATCAGACTGGTAATTACCAGTGATTATCCATCCTCTTAAGCTTTTAGCCACAATTATGATTGCAGAAAAATATGAAGTTATTAATGGAGCTGTAGATTTTATAATCCAGTAACTTTTTGCGTAACTGTAAGCACCTCGGACTAGAATATTTTGTTTCAATAATTCCCTATAATTGGAATTTCTTCTTATCCTATCCTTGCTTTTCTAAGAATGCTGTCAATTAGGGTTTTTTAAGATCTTCTTTAAGATCTTTTGTTTACATTATTTTTAACAAGCAAAATTTCATTTTGCTCTCGAATTGCCTTTTAGTAATCTCTGAGATATGACATTTAATTYTTTTTTTACAAAACATTTTATTAATTTATTCAATCTTTCTCAAAGACACTAATGAAGTAACTTTTGAAAATAACTTCAGTATTAGAATGTAGGTTCAATAACATGAGAGTATTACCCAGGCTTTAAACTTTGGCTGCTAGAGAAAATTCTGGTGTCTCCTCTGTGATTGTAATAAGACAGAAATACCTACAGTGTGTAAAACCCCACTAGAAATAGTAAAAAGCAGATATTTTGCAGGATGTATAGGGGTTATTATAGTTTAAGATATAATGCCAAAGGACTGAGTAAGACATATCACTCTTGTGAAGGCAAGTCAATAACAAAACACACTCGCTGTAGTTTGTACACAGTAAAAAATGATGAAAAATTAATCTGATGAGTTTTTTTCCTTCAGATGGCACTGATCTTTTTTGATCAGAACAACRAATTATAATTTGTTCTGCCAAGGAGAACCATTCCAAAGCAGATTTCGGGGAACTGGACTGAGCAGAATTCATAAACCATTAAAGGATAATCCCTGGCTGAAGATTTTGGAGACATCTCTAGAACATCAGGGACCCACTGCACTTACGTCTACGTTCAGTGCCTTGATACTCAGTTTAATATAGCACTAATTGAAAGAGAGAATGCACTGTAGTATTATACATGCCTTCCTCAAAGCAGCATTTGACTGAGGAAGATAATCTATTTTTGACATTTTTCCATCTAAGGAAACTTGCTAGCAGAGAAGTTCTCTTGAATTCTGTGAAGAAAAAAACTGCTTTCTGTTTACTATGAAAAGCTTTCACAATCTTGAAAGTATTTTGGCTAGCACAGTTGACAAATGGCTTGCTCTCGTTTCCATAGAGGAGAACTCAAGTTTCTTGGACTCCACAGAAAGATTTTGTATGTAATTCAGAGCAAGTAGATACTGAAGATGTATTCCTTAGACTTCGCCCAAATCTTCAGCCCTATGTGCTCATGTGTGGTTTTAGCAATTCCTCCCCTCCACACAYTCCTTTCTTCTCAAAGCCTTTGGGGGGAATCAACTTACTAAATACAGATCAACTTCCTAAAATCCTTGTTGACATGACTGTTGATATTGTTATTAGCCACTCAGGCCCGTTGCAAAGCTGCTTGTGACAGAAGAAYTTCAGCAAGAACTTCCACATTCCCAGCTATGTCTGTTTTTTTATAAAGGATACATGTGCTTCCCTACTACTCACCAACCACTGCAGTAACATAACAGGGGAAAAAAATGTGTAAGAAGAGAGTTCTGGCATCTGCTTCCCTTCTCTGATAGTGCCTGCTTGCTGAACCTCGTCTGGGGATTTGGAAGAGATCCTGACTCCCTGCAGCTCTCCAGAGATGGAAACTGAGACCGAGGTAACAGGAACTCCTTGTGATTATTCCTCAAATAAGTTATGACAAACATGAAGCACAAGCTAGAAAGGTTGGGAGATCTGTAATATAGCACAAAATCAATAAGAAATGGAGTTGCTTTGGGAGGCAAAACTGTTTCMGCTTCTAAAGTGACAAATTATATCTACTTCAAGAGGAAAATGCAAATAAATGCCCTAAAGACTTCAACAGTGCATCGCCATTAAAACACTGCTAGAATTTCTGAAGACAACTAAAAGCACAGTTTGGTACTGTATGTCTGGTGATAGAAGGCACAACTTACTGTGATTAGTGGGGCACTTGTAACCCCAGAATGGTACCAATATAGCAATAAATAAGTAAAGACAACAAATGGGAATCCCATAAGCCTTCTACCCTTCCCTTGACTCCTTCCTACATTTGTTGTCCCAGCTATGGAGACTGCCAAACACCTCTCCTTTTCCCACCTTCCCAACTATTGCACAGCACACAAGTAACTCRTGTGAGACATGAACTTATATTCTTCTGTGCATTTTAAATGTAKAGTTTAACACCCTTTTCAAGATTCACATGTGGTTACAGCATCCAGTATTTGACAGCTCGGCTGCATCACTGGAAAGGAGGCCTGAAGATTTTACTTGGTCTAATTCTCAAGCAAACAAGCTTTAAGAAACACTCACAACCTTCTGCCTAAAACAATAGTGATGAAATCCTGGTCCCATTAGTGGCAAACAGAAAAATTTAGAGCAACTTCAATAGTTCTGAGAATACCAGAACATTATCTTCCAGATTCAGAGGTAACCCAGGGGAATTAAGCAATGATGCCATTTTCAGAGGCTAAAATACATGTTCTTAAGTGCAATGAGTATGGCATAAGGACAATGAAAACCAAGCTGCGTAATAAAAAATGAATAAGAAAACTAGAGAAGAAAACTAAGAAAACTACTACGTTTAAGTGATTAAGTAGCTAATAAGACTACGGGTGAGAAAGCCAGAGTAGTTAAACTGCATAAAAAACTTGGATAGGGAAACCCTTATCCAGGTCTAGGAAGATCTGTTTCAGATGTAGACATATAGGGAAAGATGTAAAACTAGAACAGGCCTCAATAAAAATGCAACATGGTGCTGTTTAAAGAGCAAGCTATAATGTGCAAGTGCTGCTAGAATTATATGACTGTTGTAAGCTACTGCACCACTATAAGATAGAATATACATTACCATCATTAAGATGCTGAATTTTAATGCAGCCGGAAATTTTGATGTGCATCACTGAGGAGCTGTCCAGAAGTTATTTTCGTACGGTGTAAGGAATGGCATCAAGGTTACAGCAGCATGAAGGCAGGGCCGCAGGTAGGAGTGACCCAGAGGAAACCCGAGGGCTCCCCGGTGTGAGACAGGCTCTGAGGGCCTGTCTGAGCAGCCAGGCCCTGGGCCGCAGTGCCACCTGGTGACCACTTCCACAACAGCCTCACACAGACTGCCCTCCACACCGAAAAGTGCTAAGCCCTAAGATGAGCTACGAAGCCCTAAACCAAGCCTTAAGATTTTTTCCTTTTTCTTTTTTTTTTYTTTTTTTTTTTTTTGCAGTATATATATGAATATTACAGCTTACTGTTCCAAAGGTAAGTCTGTGAAGTGCAAAAAGGACAAATATTGAAATTTCCAAAGGGCAACAAAGCTGGTGAAGGGGCTGCACAACAGACCTTATGAGGAGCAGCCGAGGGAGCCGGGGTTGTTTCCTCTRGAGAAGAGGGGGCCCAGGGGAGACCTCATGGCGCTCTACAGCTACCTGGAAGGAGGCTGGAGTGAGGTGGGGTCAGTCTCTTCTCCAGAATAACAACAGGTAGGATGAGAGGAAACAGCCTCAAGTTGCGCCAGGGGAGGGTCAGGTCAGACATTACGGGGAATTTCTGCCTGGAAAGAGCGGTGAGGCCTTGGGCCAGGCTGCCCAGGGAGGTGGTGGAGCCCCCGTCCCTGGCAGTGCTCAAGGAACGGGCACATGAGGCCCTTAGGGACAGGGATCAGCAGGCAGGGTGCTGAAGGGCTCACAAATGGGATCGATGATCTTGAAGGTCTTTTCCAAGCACAATCATGTGCTTGGAAATCACAAAATCTGTGATTCTGTTATATTTTGCAATGTAAGTGCTACCAGATTACTAGGGAACTGCTCATACTGAATTGAAAGGGTTCTCCAGACAAGGCAGGTAGGTCATAGGAGAAAATAGAGCGCAGGGAAGAGGAAACATAACAATCAATAGCAACAGCCTCACGGAACTGACAGAAAACACCCAGCTGGGCATGTGCTTCGTTTCCAAACTACACTGCTTCATTACTGCCTCAAGGAGGAACAACGCCACAGACGGTTATGGGGCCGATCCCAGCTGCTGAGGCCGACGCTGCGCGTTTCCTCACCCTGCTGCAGAAGGGTGATTAGAGCAGCATTTCAAAGCCTTTCAGAGCTTTCCAACACTGCAAGCGGGTACTGTCCCCGAGTCACCAGTCATCTGAGGGGGCTTGCTTGGCCAGCGCTGAAAGCAGGGCCTGTGAGCAAGGCCAGGCTGGAGAGCAGGACGCAAGGAGCTCCCCGTCACATCCCCTCCGTGCAGGTCCTGCTCCCGCACCACAGGCAGAGGCCCTCCCTTTTATTGCRGCATCTATCTGGCTCTGAGCAAGGAAAAAGGAGGAGGGAAAAAACGGGAGGGAAGTAACCAAAAGGTACCAGGTGGGATGGATTCCACTGAATGTGAAGTGCTGCTCCTGCTCGAGAAGTTTGTTAAAGGAGGGGGCATTCTCGCTGCAGGAGACTGAGCGACTCTGGCCTCTTTGTGTGTTATTCTCGTGTCAGCAGCTGCTAAACAGAATAATCCTGCGTGACTGCAAAGGATGGCAAGTTGCCCTCTTGTTACAGCTATGGTAATAGGATAATATCCAAGGACTGCAGGGAAGACAGCAAGCAGAAAGAAAAGGACAGGGAGATAAATCACCTTTCATCATTCTTTTACTTTTTTTTTTTTTTTTCATAAAAAGAATAGCCTCAGTTAGCAGATCCTTAAACAATATAGCAAAGCCTGAAAACAAGAAGGTTAAAAAAATAAAAGGAGGAGAAGGAGGAATACAGGTTCACAGTAAACAGCTCGCACAGATCTGAAATGCAGTTGGAAAGCAACACAGCTTTGCAGGAGCAGGAACGACCATGTCCAGCACAGACAGACTTTCTACTCGGGCAGTAACAGCATCAAAGCTAGTGGGCAAAAGTGAAGACTAGAAAACATGTGCAGAAGAGACTACAATTTCTACCATCTGTGGACTTCTATTGTTTAAGAAAAGGAAGAAAATAAAATAATAAAAGGCAGTCTGTAAAAAACAAGTATGTTCTGAGCTAATTAAAAAAATCAGGTAGCTGTTGCCAACATTTCTTCCTTTCTCCTTCAGTTTTGTCTTGCTTTCATCACAGCAACTGTGGGAAAGAAAACCTGGGTGCAGTTTTCTTCTAAATAGGAGTTCAGAAAGTGAAAACACTTGCATGCAATTTCTTGAAAAATTGCATTTATTGCATATTTCTTTYTCAGGTTTAATAGTGTTTTGTCCAGCTGTTACTGAGCCACCTAAGTAATCTTTGCAGCCTGCAGTTACTCCTCAGCTTTTTAGTASCCCACGACAGAAGGAAGCTGAACTTTATTAAAATTAGAATGAAGAAGTTTCATCATAAACTAGCTATGAACCCTACCCATTATAGTGCTTGAGACTGTTCTAGTCAGCAGACTCGAACTAAAACACAGACCATCTTTACCTTTGTGTCACCTTTGTGTTTAATAATTGTTTATTGCCTTACAAAAATATTCATGTTATGTGGTTCTGCATCAATAAACAAGCAGAACAAACAAGGACTCCTGATTTGCTTCAGAAAGATCTGGATCCTGCACAGATAGATGAACATGATACAACAGCTTGTTCAAATAAGTTAGTATTGCCATCCTGCAAGCTGCTAGGCTTCTACTTATTTATATACTGCTGAATTCTTGCCTTGTTTAGCAGATGGATATATATTGATAGTGATCAGCACAAAGCCCATCAGTTTGGCTCCAGAGCCAACTCCTAGAGACTTCTCTGGGATGCCCATAAGGGCCTCTCGGGATTCTCAGGGGTTTGTGCTGGAAGGRCACTCGCCCCCCCGCCCCTGCCAGCAGTTCCAACACACCAGGATGCAGGGACACTTGAAAAACATTCATTAGTATTTCTGACACAGGAAACTTGACAAAAATAACACTTCCCAGCTTTCCAGAAGCTGCCAACTTTCTGTTCTTGGTGAAAGACCAAGCAGAAACAGTAACACGTTCTCATTACCTTCCCAGTCTACGAAACTACTGTTACGACTCTGCTAATGAAATCTTCTTTTCCATCCAGTTCCAGTGAAGGCACAACTATTTCCAGCTGTATGAAGAACTTCAGGGCACTAGAATAAACTGAAGTATTTGTAAGACTCTAACCTCATCCTCATCAAAAAAAAAAAAAAAATTCCCCAGAACTGCTGCACTGATCTAAGCCAGTTAACTCATGATGTCAAAACATGACCATGTTTTCCGTTAGTTACCTTACATTCCAACTTGCACACACCAACTCCAATCTCTGACTTATTGTATGCAGCAAACAGGAATAATGCTCCAAAGAGTAGGAGATGTCTCTCTGTCTTCRAAGTACAAAAAGCCCCTTACGTGGCTTAGAAAGGCAGAAGTTCTCATATACAGAGCTCAATACCACTTGAGCATCTGTCCCAACAAAACTGGGTTTCATTCACTGCGTTGCCAAAGTGGTAACATAAATTTCAGGCTGCTTAACTGTATTAACTGTCTATCTTCAGACTTACTAGACCACCTTGACCATATCTTGAAATGCAACAATATTATTACAGTCAACTATGTTTGTAGTCTGCCTTTTGTTCGTGTAAAACTTGAGAAGAAAACACGTGCCTATCACTCCCACTTTTGAAAAGGTCTCCATTCTCAGAATCAAAAAATCAATAGGACCTGTCCTGCCCAGACAGGACATTATCCCAAGGAGCAACATAGTCCTGTGGACTCCTGTCACAAAATATAACAAGTCTCTACCTACCCCCAAATTTTACCATCTCCTAGTGTGATCATTTCTCTGGTGTGCTTGGCTAACACAAGCCTTGAATTCTCAAGATTATTTTTTTCTCTCAAGACTTTTATTTCAGGGGATTAGGCAAGGCAGCTACATCGATACCCTAATTTAATTAGAAAACAAACTGAGCAAACWGCTGATCAAAACATCAAACAGTGTACCACAGGTTATTGCTGKATTAACTGCAAGGGCAAAAACATATTAAAAGGCTTTTGAATTCAATTAACCTCTTGTTCTACGTTTTAAATTTGCTTCCAGCCTTCATTTCAGAGATTAAGCTTTGTATCTCCAGAAGAGTTTACTTCACTAACTCAGCTTTCCTAAGCCTAGGCAGTGGAAAACAAGTATGTGAAATAAGCTGTTAGAAAAAGTATATTCTCTAGCAATGAGTGAGAGAGAGGGGTATGTCTGCAGATATTTGCAATCAACTCCCTAATGCTGCTGTTCTTCAAGACTGTTTGCTTATTACGTGTAATTTAATCATCATTGTTAGCATTGTTTCATCCATACACAGCTCAATTTTACTCACAAAATAGTTAACATGAGATTTACACTTCAACTCTTCAGTGCAGAAAGGTATGTGGAAATGTTAATTGGACTGAGTAATATTACGTGTAGTTTCTTGTTCCTGGATAGTACAAGAAGTCTGTAGTGAAACCTCTCCTTCCACATCCTGACCTTTTGTCTATCGGAATGGACGAAGCCGAGCACACTTCACAGATACCACAGAGTTGGTTTCCAGGGTTCAAAAGCAAAGAGGTTTTCAGAGCAATTCAAGGAGGACGTTGACAAAGACTSCTCAGGAAGGCGAGTACACACACCTGGCTTGAGCAAAGGCACTGCAGTTGCTGCATATAGCAAAGTTTACTCAATCCAAGTCCATCAGAAACTTAGGAGCAAATTAAAGAGTTCCACTCAAACTGTTTCAAGAACAGCTGCCATTTCCTTGAATTGACTGGAAAAGTTCTGGAAAAAAAAAATAACAGTTAAGATAAGTTTCATCTGCACAAAGAACTGCCTCAACCACAGTTTGAATGAGCAAGGCAGACAAYAAGTTGACTTAATCCAGGTTTCTCACACAGAGGATAGAGACTATCTCTATAATTTAGAGTGTGAACTAAAAGGTGTGGTTTTTTTTGTGGGCTGACTACCATTTGGACACATTCACTATGAAGTCTACACAGATGATACCTTAAGTGCATTGGTTTGACTAATAGGAGAAGATGTTAATAATAATGATAATAGCAGTTGTTAAAAAGATAAAATACATATTTTGGACAAAAGCTTCTACCACCAGCTGAAACAATCCACACTACACAGCAAGTCTTATAATAGTTGAGAAGTTATTAAATAGATTTCACCCAAAAGGCGTATGAGACGTCAAAATATGCAAAGGTTCATAATATCCTACTCAAACTCCCTTCCTTCCCGCGTTATCACATTGATGCAAGTTTTAGGCTGAACTCAAGTTTTAAATTTTTAGGCTAGGAAAGAGTTCAATAGATTTTTCTGATGACGGAAATCGATAGGTGACAAAACAAAAGTATATCTTCAGTTCCAAGTTTATTTGGGAGAGGTTAGTCTACCAGTTAAGAAAAGCAATATCGAGTTCTATATGTTATGAAAAAGGTATTTAGTTTCTGTGGCTTAAAGAATTCATTAATGCTTCATTTCTAAACTATCACATTAGCAATTACTCATTAAACACATGCATCATTTACAGATCTGCTTCTTTAAAAGAGTATCACAGTTGTTTGARAGACTGACCCAATTAGCAGCAGATACAGACCTTGAACTGCGGAATTGTCATCTCGAAAGATTTGTTTGTTACTTGTCCTGAAGGATCTGCCACTTTTAACGTCACTGYAACGTAAGGATACTTGAGAGACCTGCAGGTGTCGGAGCTCATTGCAACTCCCAGTTTCCAACTAAGATCTATAAACTACAGAGAAGAAAATAATTATTGGGAACAGCTACCAAGGAAAAGATCTAACCYGTCCTTACAATTGTGTTGTACAGACGTTTTCCAGGTGATACAGCCTATATCCAAATAGGAAACAAACATCCAATGCTATTGTGAAAATTCTGTTTACAATAAAGTCATCTGCCCTTCCCTATAAAGAAAAAAAGTTACTTTTTTACATTGCACTTAAATCTGCTTACAGTTCAAATCGAATTCAAACACACGGATCACAAAAAGTTTACAACAGAAGAAATCAAGAAAATCAAGGTATTTGAAAACTATTATAGATAAGCTATGGTACATCAAATATTTTAGATAGGTAAACTATAAAAGACTGAAAATGTTAAAAAGCAGAACTGCTAAATAAGTAAAAGAACATACAGAAGACTATTTCCTTCTTAGTATCAAAGCTTTGAAAAGCTCTTTTATATATATATATATATATATATTCTGCATTCTGATCATTAGTGCTGGAAAAGACGTCTCAAAAATGCAGGTGCATTTTTATTAAGCTTTGCAAAACAAGCGACCCTCATCCCACCTCAATGGAACCATAAGAAGTGAATGAAACTATTTTGAAAAAAACAAAAACAAAGCTGTTCATTTGCACAYGAGGAAGAGCTTCTTTGCTGTGAGGGTGCCAGAGCCCTGGCCCAGGCTGCCCAGGGAGGCTGTGGAGTCTCCTTCYCTGGAGATCTTCCCAACCCGCCTGGATGCCGCCCTGTGCCCCGTGCTCTGGGTGTCCCTGCTGGAGCAGGGGGTTGGACTKGRTGATCTCTAGGGWTCCCTTCCTACCTCARCCATTCTGTGATAGCTTCGGGCAGTCAAGATACTATTATGTGTTTGACAACACAACACTAAAAGAAACCCTGATATTTTGGAAGAGTAGACTCAGCTCAGCTGCACTTATGTAGTTACCTGTGCCACTGTGTCCATATTTCTTGCCTCTTCTGCCGCACTGACAGCTTTGCCCTGCTCACTCCACACGTGACGGATGACTTGAACCGCGTGTTTCGGCAGCGCGCGGACTTCGCTGCCCAGGGCGGCGACAAGCTCCTCTGTGGAGAGATGGTTTCTGGCTGCTGTGCTACAGGTATATCCAAAGAACACCACATCAACTGCATTTGCTAAGAAATGAATAAGGCTTCTCACCTTAAATAAATAAATAAACAGCAAGAAAGACTTTTGCTTATTTCTAAATTAGGCAGCCCGTGACTTTTTTTGTAAAATATTTCACTCCTCTGGAAATATGACTTTCACATCCATTTGCAAGGAATAACACATGACTCTGTAGTCTATCTTAAGATAAGGAAACTGAGTCCAAGCTTTGATTTGCTCGCACAAATTCCAAACCAAAGGGCAAGTGAGGACCTCAAGGTAGTTGTGCAATTGCCAAAAACATTAGTCAAAAGATGCAGCACACACAAATGAAAAGGCAGCAAGTCTAGATAAAAAGGAAAAAAGTATAATGATTTGAGGTTTCATATTTTACAAAGGAAAGATTAGTAAGCTTTTTTAGCACGTTTTCTACAATCTGATTAATAAGGAATAATATGTTTAGATCCTAGGTTTTAGGAGAATAAGTGAGATCTTGAAAGTTTTCTGAAAAATAGAAAAGCTTCTAGTAAAACAGCAGTAGAAAAGGATGCCTAAAAGCTATGCTTTGCAGCTGACAAAGGTTGTTAAGAGGAATTCCTTTTTTTTTCCATTCTGAAAACAGAGTCTAATCAATATGTTACTCTGCAATTTTCTTACATTAAGAAGTCTTTGTCACATACTGCAAGTTATAAATTATTCCTCTTTTCCCAAATTCACGTGCTTTGTTAACACTAATAAGGTGGGGTAGAGGGAAAAAGAAGTAAARAAAATAATATAATGTGCTTACCTAAATAGAAAGGAAATAATATTAGCTAGTTTTGCCAGTTCACTGACAGTGATCTCAACCCCAGACATCTCAAGTCTCTAAAAAGAGSATGTTCAAACAGTTAGAACGTATGCCACAGTTACATATAAGTGACCTGTGGAATATCATCTCCACAGAGTAGCCAACCATTTAATTTGCTTTTTACTAATACTCACTTACCTGACGCAATTCTACTGTGTTTATACCTTCAATCTTATGGTTCAAATGTTGAATTACTTGCTCACACTGTAAAGAAGAGAAGTTTAAAACATTCTTTATGCATATTTTAATATATGAGACAAAGCTGGACGACCTAGCGGTCTGAATACAGTCATCAGAGATTACAGAAGAAGAAAAAGAGTGGTTAATAGAAAAGAAAAAAAAAAAAAGAACATGTGGATGACAAGTTAAATATGAAATGAAGGAAATAGTGTGGCTTGTAAGCGACTCACCTTAACTCACCTTATCAAATTCAAGAAAAGGAAATGAACACGGCCTTAGTGTTTTGGCTCATATCTCACTTGCTTTTGCTACTTTGCAAACTCTCCTCACGCTAATTGTGCAGCCATTCTGCCTAGGTCTGCACTGCTTCTTTGGGCAGAACGACTTTTTTTTTTTAAGTAAACTGAAGCTGAGCATCTCATTCATAAGCAAGCAAAGCAAAACCAATCCTGTCAGCGGCACCTCATAAGCAATGTAAATCCCCACCACTGTACACTTCCCAACCATGCAGACCTGAGCAGAATAACTAAGACAGAAATGCTTTCAAGAAGTAGGGGGTTCCCAGAAGTCCTCCCACATCCTATTTTTTGGCCAACTTACTAGTTCTGCAAAGAAGTCTTGAGGTATTAAGTCAATTTTATCTGCCGCACCACTGACATCTGAAAAACAGGAACAGCCGGGATGAAACAAACCTTGAATTGCTGCCTAATAGTAGGTCTTCTATCTCTCTGAGCAATTCCTAGACTTACACTCGCATTCACCTTTTAAACAAGGCTTTAAGGGAATAAAAGTGATTCCTAAACCCGCCCCCGCGGCCAAACGCGCTGCCGCCAAAGTGCAAACGCCGCCAACGGCCGCGAGGCGGTGAGAGGGGGGACGCGGCAAGCCTCCCGCCGCCCCGGCCCCGGCCCCGGCCCCGGCCCCGGCCCCGCGGCGCCCTCACCGAGCGCCTCCAAGGCCCGGGCGAGCCCCGCCGCAGAGCCGCCAGCCATGGCGCCACACCCCAGCCAAAGCGCCACTTCCGCCACACAGCGCCTGCCGCCCTCATTGGCTGCAGCCCCGCGGAGGCCTCGCGCTGATTGGCTGCCGGGCGGCGCGCATGCGCTGTCCCGAGGCTGCGCCGCGCCACACCGAGCGCCGCCGCCGCGGCCTCGGCTCGGGGTGCGAGGGCGCTTTGGGGGTTCCCCCCTSGAAGGAAAGGGGGGTTCACGCAGTTTTTCTATGTAGCTGGCGTTTACTAAAAATATAGCTAAAACCTCGCTCAGTAGGCTTTTCGGACGTGGTTGGGGTGTGCCTGGGGGCCTAGAACAGCAGTGGTGACTTTTAAAAACAGCAAATGCTCTCGGGTCTTTCTAGTCAGAGCTGCATATAGTGCAGTAATGTTAGGAGTTTAGGTTGAGCAGCTGTAGAGCTTGGTGTTGAAAGCTGCTGAATAGTAAAAAATAACTAGTCACACCGGAGCGCTTACCTAGCTCCAAATTGTGGGTTTTTTTTTTTTTTTTCAAATCCAGTTGTGTCCTTCAAATAAATTTACATGGAATAACTGCTGTTTGAGGAAAAGGAGACGCTATCCTGGCGCGTCGTGTGCATGTTTGTGAGCCTTAGGCACCCGTGGGCTCTCTGATTCAGCCTCTCCCTTTGAAGCACCCGTCTGCATGTGCAAATGTTCCCACGTAAAACGTACTTTGGTGGCCGCCTGCCTGCCCAAACACCCGTACTCGTCCGCTTGTACTCGCCAGGTACGAGCCAGACGTGCCTGTGATCGCAGGGACGTGCCTTGATGTCGCTCCCACTCATGTCCTGCTCCCTAGTTGCGTACCCRTCTGCGCTCTCTGGATGGCTTTGCGTGGAATTCCGCGTTGCACGGAGTTTCATCACGCCTCCCAGGAGCGCCTTTAGCAACGTGACTAACAACCTCTCTGATTTTTCATTCTTGTTTTTTTCCCATGGAGATGCAGAGATAGGTRTGAAGTTGCACGTCTGGTTTTCACAGGGTGGGGGCAATTGCAGAATGATTCTTGGAGTGTTTTGCTGGAATTTAGAGTCGCTTGGGGATTATTTTTATCAGTGTGTTAGCACATATCTAGTCCTTTCAACTCACAACAGAAGGTGGTTAAAGTCCCTCACGGTTTGAGGTCATGGGCTTCCCATTTATAGCCTGACATTCTGTATCTTTAGCTAATTCCCTCAATGCAGGAGCAGACCTGCTCTTGTGGGACACACCTCCAGTGCCTGGTACCATCGCTGCAGTCCTGCCAGGTGATAACAGGCTAAAGTCAGGGAATGATTATGGTCGGAAGGGGCCTTTAGAGATCATCTAGCCCTACCTCCCTGCACACGCGGGGTCATGCATAACTACAATACCATAATAATATAAAATAAGCTAAATATAAACTCTTCAGGTGATTTACTCTGTTTTGCAAAGGCGATTCTTTTTCAGGATGGGAACGCTCTGCTTGCCAACGTTCGCTACAGAACTGCGCCACGTTCTTCAGAAGCTTTYGGGGCAGAGGAAAGGGCATTTCCCTTGGGAAGCCGATGCGTTTTGGCCGTGGCCGAGCCGCGCGGGCTGCCTGCACGGGGGGCCGTGMGCGAGCCCCTGCGCCCGGTGCTCCGGGTGTCCCTGCTGGGGCAGGGGGCTGCCCCGGGGCCGCTCCCGGGGCCCCTGCCTCCTCAGTCGGGAAGGGGGGAGCCGAGACGCGGCGCGCAGCGACGCAGGGCGCCCCTTCTTATTTAATTATCTTTGATGACTATTTCAGCCGTTGGTGCCGAAACGGCCGTTAGCGCGGCCGTTGGCGCCGAGGGGGCGGGGCGCAGGCCCCGCGGCCCCTCCCCGCTCCGCTCCGCTTTGCGCCGCGCCGCCCGCGGCCG